GATACATCCATGGCCATGTTCACCAAACTGAAGAACTTATAGGAACAAGATACCGATCATCAAAAGAATCTGCTCATGGAGAAATTCTATGCATACAGGTGGGATAGGGAGTTATCAGCAATCGACAATACTGGTGTCATTATAAATTTAGCTCACCAGCTCAACTCTCTTGAACAAGAGATAAACGATGTTTCCGTGATGTCAAAAATTATCAGCATTTTACCACCACTTCTTGCCGATATGTCAACTGCATGGGACTTTACTGCCCGAGTAGACAAGACAATCGAAAACCTTGTGAATCGTCTGAAGAGGGAAGAGAACAAAATCAAAAACTCAAGCAAAGAAGACGGTGCAAGTGCTTTGCTGTCCAAGTTGGAATGAACTCTCTGAATAAGAACTAGGTGTGGGATTATGTTGACATTGATAAAGCTGCTGGTCAACCTGTAATTTCAAGCAGATGGATATTCAAAATTAAGGATGATGGAACACATCGTGCAAGATTGGTAGCAAGGGGTTTTGAACAATCCACACACTCACTGGATTACAGCCAGACATACAGCCCTGTAGTGGATACATCCAACTTACGAGCACTTCTGGCACTGGCAGCTTACAACAACCAAACAATGAAGAAATTTGATGTCAAAACAGCCTTTTTGCATGGAACTCTGACCTCTCCAGTGTACATGCTGATACCAGAAGGTTTTCACACACCAGAAAATAATGGAAAGATATGTGAACTGAAAAAGGCTCTATTTGGCCTGAAAGAGGCACCCCAACGATGGTATTCTAGACTTTCTAATTTTGTGATCTTTCTCGGAATGCATCAAACAAAGAGTGACAAATGCATCTTCATAAATAAATCAAGATCTTTGATCCTAGGGATCCACGTTGACGATGGTATTCTCCTGGGATCCAATGAATCGGACATGAACAAACTGTTAACCAAACTACAAACTCAATTTGAGATTACAATTCATCACAACCCCTCCGTGTACTTGGGCATGGAAATAATTCAAACTGCTAAAGGGATATTACTGACCCAAACTGCATATGCTGACAAGGTCCTACTCCAATATCGAATGGAAAATTGTCATTCTGAGAGTTTCCCAATGGAACCTCACAGAAAACCTACAGGCTACTCAGACAATCGAGACAAGATAAAGTTTCCATTCAGAGAAGCACTGGGAAGCTTACAGTACCTAGCCTGCAAAACTCGTCCTGATCTGAGTTTCTCGGTTAACTACCTAAGCACAAAAATAGAAAATCCAGGTCAACAGGAACTGATACAAATAAAAAGGATCTTCAGATATCTAAAAGGAACTGTAGCTCACGGACTCTTGTTCAGAGCCAGATCCAATCCTCCTCCAATCGTTCATGCATACTGTGATGCTGACTTTGCAGGCTCAGGACCTGAAGGAAAACGGGTCAGTACATCAGGTTTTACTCTGTTAATTAATAATGGACCTATTACATGGAGTTCTAAACGCCAGAGTATAGTGGCTCTCTCCACTGCTGAAGCAGAGTATATTTCAGCTGCAGATTGTGTCAAGGACGTACAGTATGTAAAAGATCTATTGACAGAACTCACTGGTAAGCTAGCAGAAATTACTCTGTTCATGGATAATCAGTCTACCATTAAAATGATTAAAGTAGGACAACTAAACAAAAGTACTAAACACATACAAGTTCGCTTCTACCACTTGAACGCTGCCTATGTGAACAATCTGTTCGTTTTAGACTATGTCCCAACCAACGATAATATCTCAGACATGTTCACTAAGCCGCTAGCAACAAAGAAATTCCAGAAGTTTCAATCACTGCTCGTGACTTCTCTGGATGAAATCCAACAATCATCGCAAGCTGAAGAAAAGTAAACAAACACAAATGAACGGTTTCTTCAACCTGGCATTCCGTTAAGGGGGAGTGTTGGAGATTTAACTGAATGCAGGTTGGCCGCAATGACACGGCCTTCTAGACAATGTCTCCCACTCCAGTGTAACTTTTGTTCTTCTTGCCTGCGTTTACCTTATAGATGAACCAACACAATACAGTATTCGTTATCCAGTATCATCTGCGTGTACTTCAATCTTTTGTTCCCTAAATTTCCAAACCAAATTCTATCAGGTTCGACAACAAATACCTATAAAGCACTTCGCCAATGTGTCTCTTACCTTTTTATCGAAGGGCTGATGTGGGTCGGGCATTATTTTGTCTGAAATGCTGAAAGTATTGGACCAGTGCGACAGGTTCTCCTCAGCGCTCGTAAATATTTTTGTTCATTATCGAGATAAAAGACGCGAAATAGGTGAGATCTTGTTATATTTCAGATCCTTGTGACCTGCGGCAGCGTATTGTAAACTTTCATCAACAATTCTTGCGTGGCAAAGTATTTTAAACATAGCTAATCTGCAGTGAGGAGCACTGAGCGGTGGTTTGAACGGCCGGTTCGCGCCGTCCGGGCGGCGACTTTCGGGGCTCGCGCATAGGCCGCGCTCTCAGCACTGCGATGCGACCCCCTGGTACGGCGGCCTGCTGAACTCCGTTTGTACCAAGCCCCCGGGAACTGCGTTTATACGGAGGCGCCATGAAGTCCGTGTGTATAGGTTTTAAGTGCCGATCTACTACTAGCGCCTCTACGCTGAGGTTGGGGTTGCAGCAGGCAAAATATCGCGTTCACCTCCTTGCAGACTGCGAGCCGTTGCGTTCCGGTACATATGCTGCGTATGTATGCCTCACGTAAACGATATACATATGTACAGACCGCGTACCTCGTATACGTTCCGTATGTGCTCAGGACCCCATTGTGGCAGACCAGGACACCTCACGAACAGATAAGGATTGTCGTATGTGTGGTCTGTATGCACACGTACAGAACATGTTCGTGCCGCTTACAAACTCAATGGGTGGCGGTTGCCGATTGTGGTCCGTATTTCAACATTAGACTGCCAGTGAATTGCCTCCAGACGGCACTGCAGGCAGCGCGTCTCCAACTTAAGACGCTTGTAGCCCGCCCTTCTGCTTTGAAAAAGCTATCCAGCGGGCTTATGCAAACGACCTCGTGTCTGTCTGTCTGTGTGTCTGTCTGTTACACTAGAGGGAGATGTGCTAGAGACTTGAAATTTTCAGGGTATCTAAGGTCCACTCCTAAAGAACGAAACGCCTACGGCAAATCCTGGCAACCACCCCGAAGGGTGTGAATGGGGGTATCCGAGGTTCAAAAATTCTCCCGAAAAGTAATTTTTTTATGTTCTCCCAAGGGGTAACTCGTCCGTTTTGCTCTATCTCTAACCGTTTAGGCGCTAGAGGGTCTTTTTTCCTCTTACCTGTGTTGTGGATCCTGGCCACCCCGCATACCGGGATAAAGTTGGCTAGAAAAATTTTCTGGACAGAAAAATTTTTGACATCTATTTTTTCAACAAAAAAAAATAACCAAAAAAAGGCTAACAAGACCTCCCCAACACGAAACGGACCATTTCCGAATCATGCCCAGCAAAAGAAAGTTTCCTGGCTCAAAGAAGCGTTCAAAATTGGCCATTTCGCCTCCAGGATCTTTCCTATGCTAGGCAAAATTCCTATTTTCACAGGGAATGTGTCTTTTGACCCCCTTAACCCAAAACCGACCATTTCCGGATTGTGCCCACCAATAGAAAGTTTCCTGGTTCAAAAAAGCGTTCAAAATTGGCCTGTTTGCCTCTAGAATCTTCCCTAGGCTGGGCATAATTCCCATTTTCACACGAAGGGGGCCTCTTGACCCCCTTAACACAAAACGGACCATTTCCGAGTAATGCCCAGCAATATAAAGTTTCCTGGTTCAAAAAAGCGTTAAAAATCCCCTTTTCTGCCTCCAGGGTCTTTCCCTATGCTGGGCATAATTCCTATTTTCACAGGAAAGGTGCCTCTTGACCCCCTCAACCCAAAACGGACCATTTCCGAATTATGCCCAGCAATAGAAAGTTTCCTGGTTTACAAAAGCGTTCTAAATTGGCCATTTCGCCTTCAGGTTCTTTCCTTTTGCTGGGCAAAATTCCTGAATTTTGAACGCTTTTTTGAACCAGGAAACTTTTTATCGCTGGGCACAGTTTGGAAATGGCCCGTTTCGTGTTCGGGAGGTCTTTTTAGCCCTTTTTTTTTTTTTTTTTTTTTTGAAGTAGATGTCGAAAATGTTTTTGGCCAGAAAATTTTTCTAGCCAACTTTATCCCGGTACCCCGATACGTTCATGAGTGTGGCGATGCAGGTCGAGCTGACCCCTGCACTACTTCACGTTTACTATGCAGTCATCATCTTTGTGCTCTCAGAATTATCCGAGAGATATGTCAGATGGCCTCTTCCTGGGGAGAGAATCGCCATCAGTGATGGGTGTGAGAGGCGTAGTGGATTCCCTGGAGTGGTTGGGGCAGTGGATGCTTCATACATACCACTGTGTACTGCTCCAGTTATTGAACCCCAAAGATATATAAATAGGCACCATGACTACGCCGTCTCTCTGCAGGGTGTTGTTGACCCTACTCTAGTCTTCAGGGATATTTATGTAGGAGAGCCTAGAAGCCTGCACGACTCCAGGGTCTTCAGAAGGTGTCCCTTGAGTAGAAAATTCCTTGAAGATGACACTCTTCCGGATCAGGATCAGCACATACTTGGGGACTCAGGTTATATTCTTACGGACAAGGTCCTCACTCCATACCGAAACAATGGTAATCTCACAGTACGCCAAGATTACAACGCCATGATGTCAAGCTCAAGAAGTATGGTGGAACGGGCGTTTGGTTTTCTTAAGATGAAATGGCGAAGGCTCTTTTTTCTTTCAGCCAGAAAACCTGTACTTGTAGTTAGGACAATTGTTGCATCAGTGGTACTTCACAACTTTTTGATTCTCCAAGGTGAAGCCCCAGATGTGGGAGAACCAGAAGAAACACGTGGGAAAGTGCCTTTTGATCAATATCCAGATTTTGACCATACCAATGTTCAGATTGAGCCTGATCATCCTTTACTAGGAGGTGTCACGGCTAGAGGGGTGGAAAAGCGTTACCACATTACAAATAATTTTCCAGTTTAATAAATTGTGGCTTGAAGTATAATAATCTTAATGTTATCATTCAAGTAAGATTTCTTTATTTGTAATTGCACTGCTGTTTTAAAGTTGTAAACGAGTAGATGTAGCAACACAAACCCATAAATTGTGGCTGTAAGTATAACAATCTAAATGTTATCACTTAAGGCAACGTTCCTTTATTTTTAATTGCAGTTCTGTTAAAGAGTTGTAAATGAGTAAATGTAAATTTCAAGAGATATCCTCAGAAAGCAGAAATAAACAATTATTGCAAAACAAGGTTTATTACTTTTCAGTCTGTAAGTAACATATCACTTTGAATGAAAATAATCAATTTGGTCAGAACAAATAAAAACCAAAATCCAAAACATCAGGAAAATCTTTAAGAACCTAGTATCACAAAAATAAATAAGCAAAAGACTTGGAGATCAAAGAATTATAACTAAAACAAAAATATGTCATTAGGTTTTCAAAAACTACTTTGGCAGCAAACCAAACTTGTAAGCCAAACCAGTGTGGCCAGAGTCTTGATGCGACAGCCCGCCAGACGCGCTCAACCCGCCACCACCCGCCACAAAAAAACTCGACATAACATCATGGCGCGCGAATTTGAATGGTTTCAGAGGATACCAACGGAAAAAAACAAATTCCTTTGAAACAACATTTATTTTTTAAAAGAAAAGCTGTAGAACAAACTAAAGTAGGCTAGTCAGTCAAGCTTTAAGATAAACCTAGGTAGATGTACGCCAGACCACGTCTCGCGTAACAGGCTTCGCGATATCTCACGATACACTGTTACGCTGAGACGCGCCAGGCATACATCTACCTAGGCGTGCGGCGCTGACACCCGAGTCGGGCAATGGGCACAGTCGTAAATAGGCCTTCGGCCCCAAAAGTCACTAGTTTTGTTCCTCGAGGTTTCAGTTTGATTAGTTACTCCGCCGGACACCATCAAATATCTGAGAGTTAACATAAAATTTTTGCGGTCATTTCCGTGTGAAAAACGCCCTCTGGCGCCGAAACGGTTAGAGATACAGCCAAACGGGCAAAATTTTGGCCCACAGGGTCCTACTTTAACGAGTTACCCGAGCGCCTGGCGCACATATAGTAGGCCTGCGGCGCTGACACCCGAGACGAGTAAAGGAGAGGGTATAGGGGAACAGAGCCTTCCGGGCCCAAAATTTGACATTCTCGAACCATTTGTCGGGGTCTTATTACTCTAAAATAAGGGACATGAAACTTCTGCTGTTCGGTAATGGTTTTCATTAAAAAATCGAATTTTGTCAGATTGTTAAGTAAAAATCGACGTTTTAGTGATACTAGATAATCTAGGGACCCTTCAGCCCAAAAGAGGGTATGGTTCGACCGTTAATGTGTGGTTGAAGTATTACTCCCTTTACAATTCTGTAACATGAAGCCTTTATTACGATTTATTAGACCATTTTGTCTTTTTCACTTTGTTTTCGCCACGAAATGTGCCATTGCGTCGAAGCGGTACAAGATAGAGCAAAACGGACGAAACTTTCGCCCATTGGGTTCTTCCTGTACAAGCTGCCGGGACATATTACTCTAAAATTACGGACATGAAACGTCTGCTGTTCGTTAAAGGTTTTGCTTAAAAGTTCGAATTTTAATAGATTGTTAGGTTAAAATTAGCGTTTTGGTGATACTAGATAATCTAGGGACCTTTGAGCCCAAAAGAGGGTGTGGTTCGACCCGTAATGTGTGGTTTCAGTATTACTCCCTTTACAATTCCGTGACATGAAGCCTTTTTTACGATTTAATAGACCTGTTTTTCTTTTTCACGTTGTTTTCGCAAGGAAATGCCCCATAGCGCAAGAACGGTACAAGATACAGCAAAACAGTCGAAATTTTCGCCCATAGGGTTCTCTTTTCACGAGTTACCTCTTAGGAGCCCATAAAAAAATATTTTATAAAACTACATATTGCGACC